AGATAATTGCAACCATTCTTCATGGCTTGGGCAATCATGATAGTTGGTATCCATCGAGGCTAGATTTTCAAAAGCTATCTTGAAAGGCAATCCAGATTGAATCATAAGGTATGTTGAGTTCCATCGAGTGGCAACATCCTTGGATGGTAGAAAGTTTAAACTGATGTTGGCTCTTTTCATTGATGCTTTGAATAGTTGACAACGTGCCTGGCTAATCTTGATGTACTTGACTGATCGACGTAGCTTTTGGACTGCCTCGAGAATTACTGAAAGGCCATCTTTAACAATCAAATTGATTATATGTGCAGCACAGCGGACATGAAAAAACATTCCACCAGCCTCTAAACCCGTCTGGGTTTGATCGGAGACAATCATTTTAAACCGAGTAATGGCTGAGTTGTTTGAAGATGCATTGTCAACTGTCATGAAGGCACACTTGCTTATGGACTTCCATTCAACTAAGCTTTGGACAAGTCAATCAGCAATTGCGGAACCGGTGTGAGGTGATGGGAGTTCTTTGAAGGATATAACATGTTTGATTAAATTCCAGGAGGCATCTATGAAGTGTGCAGTGATTACCATATATCCGTTCGAGTCACGAGAGCTCCAGAGATCGGTTGTTAATGCCAGCCAATTTGCTTGTATAATTTCTTTGAGGAGATCAGTTTTCATTGATTGGAAGAGGGCCATGCAATCTTCTTTTACTGTGAAGCGAGATCTCAACTTGAAGTGTGGATGCAAAGAAGCAACAAAAAGCTTGAAGTACTTATGTTCAACCAATCGAAATGGATAACCATGCGCGGCAACCATTTTAGACAGTAAGGCTCGGGATTTTTGCTCAGAAAATTGCCAGGAGGTCATCTCCTTACTTCCTTTGCTGACCACAAGCAATGACTGCTTGGATGATCGATTCGAGCTTTGGTAGGTCTTGCATCGTTCCAAATGACGCCAGAGGTGTTGAGTACCTGAACCACTCTTGCCTGAAAGCGGACTTTTACAATATTTGCATACTGCCTTCAAGTCTTCTTTCCCATCCTTGTCGAAATGCAACCATACCTCACTCGTAGTCTTCCTTTTCTTTGTTGCAGGGGTATTACTAGTCTGATTGGTATCTGTAGAAGTTGTATCTGCATTTCCTGAGAGTGGTACAGCTATACTAGTGTCTGGAGTCTGAGATAGATCTTGTTGGGGTTGGGAGGGCATACTAGTTGTTGGATGGCGATAGTACTATAAAGATTTCCGTCCGGAAGGAATTATTGTGGCTCAAGGAAAAGCCTGCTTGGAACTTGGGACTGGTATTTAAGATAAAAAGGTGAACTTGGGGCCTGTCAGATGTGCCCAAACTGGTGTCAATTATTTCCCAGAACAGCTTATTACAAGTCTCAAATCCGTTTCACAATATATGGGTCAAGTTTCAGCAGGAAACACCGGCCACTCCCAGGCTCCCAGCCATTATCGATACTTGGTATCTTATTGGGTCGACCCATGGGTAGCCCAACTTCAGGAAAGTACGACCCGACCCATCATAAGCAACCCAGGGTTCTGACCCATTTAGGTTCAATTTCACCTTCAAGCCGCCCCGCCCCGCCCCAGACCCATGCTGGGTCGGGGCAACCCATGGGCCGACCCGACCCATCCTCACCCCTAGGAACACCAGTTGCGTGCTCTGGGTGCGAGGCACCGCACGGACGCGGAGAGCGCGCCTCGGGGACCCGGGTTTCTCCGCTGGAGAAGCTCGTCCCCCGGTAGTAAATGTCGCTGTCTCCTGCAGACGCTGCTAACCAGCTGCAGTCGCCAAGGTACCCCATTCAACTTCCCTCTCTTTAAGTCGATTCAACGCTCCAGTTCAAAGATTCGCAAGAAACCACATCTGGTGGATCGATGGCGGCGGATGACTATGAAGAAGTTATATCAAGTGGAGGACTCAAGCTGAAAGGCGCTGATTTCGGGAAGAAAAAAAAGTAAGAGTTAATCATCTTGTCCCCTATGTAAATGGTGCAGAGTTGGATAGTTGAATGGATGTTGATGGAACTGAAATATGCGACCAGGAAAAAGAAAAAGTCAACCCTTTCTGAAGCGGTGCTCGATAAAGGCAAAAGCAACTACACCGAATTAGCGAAATCATTAATCGAGTCATCTACATCACTACAGAAACAAAAGCTTCGAGAAGAAGAGCGAGCCACCTCCGAAGAACAAAGAGAATCGACTTCTTCAACTGCTACACCGGTCAATATAACCAGAGTGGAGAAAACTAGGGCCGAAATCAAGTTTGAAGAAACCCAAAAGATGAGGTTGCTCGAAAAAGCTAAGAAACAAGCGTTGAAAACTCACAAGGATAGGGTCGCCGATTTCAATCTGAGACTAGAGAATCAATCCGAACACTTTGACATCCCAAAGGTAATGTCCCCAATCACCTTGCTCGATATCCCCTCATCCACGCGCCCATCTGCCCTTTCTTTTTTGCTAATCCAACCATTCCATAACTCCTTTCTTTACACGTGCAGGTCGGACCTGGCTAAATCGACGCTTTCCGAGACATGGCCATGGGCATACATACATATGCTGTTCGGATTCTTTATGTTTCATCATTCTGCGTTTGCTTTGTACTGAGTAGGGATCCGGACAAAGCCACTAATTAGAGCATGAAGCCAATTATTTCAGCTCAATGTGTTTTACTTTTCTTCACGAAATCTCTCCGCGGAAATCGTCTGTTCACTCTAGTAACCTTTCTCAAAGTCAAGCAAGAGGAGCAGGGATTGCATGTCTCGAGAAAAGAAATGTAGTACTTTCGTATTGATAGGAAAGAGATTTAGCAAAAGGTAAGAGCCGTATAGAAGAAAAATAGAGCTCAAAACCAAGTTATGGATATGAGCTCAGATATCCGGGAAACATTGTAGGATGCGGGGGATGTGATGCGTGCCAGGTCCCGTGTCTGTCAGGCTCCCCAGTCACCACTCGACACAGATGAGTCTGATGACCTGGCATGGGGATGCTCACGTCATCTTTTATTTCGGCAGACTTCGGGTATGCATGGTGAGCAGGCCTGAGATGCTCTCGAATGCCGGGTTGTAATTAGAGTGAGACGATGTGAATGGCTATGCAAAAGTGGCCAGCGAACGCCGACGTACGCCGACCCGGCAGCAGGGCGGCGCAACTTGTCCCAAGGAGCCGATCCGGGTAAATGCAATTTTTAGTTCGGTTATCATCCGTTTGGCAAGGCCACTTACATAACTTCGCGATCATTGGTTGATTATGAATTTCCGACATCTAAAGACCCCCTGACAAGTTATGAGGGCTGCCCACGGTATCCTTGACCATTTGATGAGGTCGAATACCATACCCAAAACTTCTGGTGCAGAGTACAGATGTTTCGAGCTTCCTTCAACGGCTCTGGGTGTTCCACCGCATTTTCTGAAGACTTGTCCCACTTGTTTCATGAATTGAATCTCAGAAACCCACTTTGTGTGCTGAGCTCATGAGTCATGACCGTCAAACAGCCCATGAAGATGTATAGGTAGTCGGATGGACCCCCTGCGACTGCTCCTGGTCCATGACTCTCGTGCTGGCGCACCATACTACTTTTTCATCAAGATATTTGGGACTGCCGCCTACCTTCCCAACGCATCGCACTCGCGAAGCTTCGTCGCCTGGTTGGTTGAAGAGAAGACACTATGGCGCGTCATCCGTTTTTCCTTCTTTTCGAAATTCTATGTGCATGCCTCATCGCAACACCAGCCTTTTCCTTGCCGCAAAAATTATGCCCGAGGGCCTTGTCCCGGGAAATCGTTGAGGGAACAATTCCGCCAAAGAATGGTGCAGCATTGTCAATTTCCCCTGACATTCGACAAGATCCACGGTACCTACCTAGGCAGCAAGACATGCCATCCTTATTGAAAGCTGTTAAAGAGGAGCCATCAGATGAAATTGGGGACAACTTCCAGGCACCGCACAACTTCAACTCTATTCGTGTCAAAGAGGATCCAGAGAACCTATTGGAGAAAGTTAGCCCAGCTGAAAAATACCTTCTGCATCAAAACATCCGCCCACAAACTACCGCAGCTGTTGTCAAAGAAGAACCTATGGAATTCGACGTGATTGAGCAAGATTACCAGCGCCACTTTTATCCCCACTTGCCCCAACCTCAACTCGACCAGCAGTTCCGCCAGCATCAAATTTACACTCAACCCCGCAATTCTTTTGATTTGAACGTTAAAGCTCCCCCAGGATCTGAAGATGACATGCCTCACATCTTTCGTGGGTTACATCTTTCCTCCCAAGCAAAACGAAACGATTTAGAATCTGAAAAGGCCGTTTACTACGAGGTGCCAGCAAAAAGGCGCAATCTTGAAGTGACGAAGGACAAGGGCAAAAAGCGTTTACTTGAAGAACCGACAACTCCCCCTCAACCTTCGAGAAACCCTTCAAAATTGATGAAGATTACGAATTCAAAACCTTCTCAACAAACACGTGACCATATTCAAACTCAGCTAGTGAAATCCTGGGGCCCCAGCACCTCAGATCATATTCTTGCCAAAATTATGGCCCTTGCAGTGCATAATTACATCCACAGTGAAGTAATTCAACCGCAAAAAATTAAGCTACCAATGAAATTTATCAATCAGAAACTTCTCGAAGATACTCCCCTCTTACAAAAACTGCTGGATATGCGGAACGCTCTCCTGGATGAAATGACAAATTCACCACTTCGTGGTCTAAAGTGGAGCCAACCCCCTCTTGCAGGACTGGAAAATCATTATTTGCGAGAATTCCAAGGTATTTTTACCCAACGGGAAACAGCTAATGGAGCCTACACACCGAATTACTGCAAAGCTGATATGAGTCAAGCGATCGAAAACATTGAAGCCATCTTGACATCCGCATCTAGTCGCCTGGGGGATTTCCAGTATTCTACTTTGGTTCGGGGGATGACTCACAGGGAGACTGCAATTTCGCCATCTCATCCAGGAGGATCAATTTTCCAAAGAATCGGCCAGGACTCGGTGATCAATGGCAATGTGATGTCTGAACAGAAGAAAGAAGCACGGGGTTGGAAAATTAATAATAATGGAGGTATGTTTCCCCTTCCTTCATGCTCAAGAGGTAAACCTCTACCCAGATCGCAAAGGTCAACTTGTGCATTTGTTTCAATCTTCGACTAGTCTTCAAAGGAGATGCAACCCTTCAATCCCTTCTTTATTTTCAAAATCCTGTTCAAAAACTAAAACTGGCTTGAAGAAGAAGCGCAATTTTGGGTTGATATCCTTGTCCGTGAAGCTTTCCACTCCGCTGCTTTGGCTGATTTTTGTTTACATTCGTTCCGAAGACGACTTTGTCAACCCTCAAAAGAAAAAGAAAGTGTTGCTCGATGGAAAAGCCCTCCGAAAAGCCATCGCGAAGTCCATAATTCTCGATGGAATACTCTCTGCAAGGATCAGGTTGGCATTTGAATCGACAGATCATCCAGAGGAACAGTCAATCGTTTATTACAGCAGTGTTGCGGGTGCTATCACAGATATATATATAGATTCCGTGGAATTGAAAGAAATTGTACCTCGTGAGTTCAGCTCTAAGATAAATGGAGCTTTGGATTTCGAGATGCTGAATTCAATTCGAACACAGCAACTCAACCTTTCTCAGCAAAGGATGAAGCTTTTAGGAGAGTTTTGGTAGTCTTCACGCACTTCTTGCAGCCCATTTTCCTAGTGGATGGATTTGGCGAGTCGATCTTCACCAATGTCCAATTGGACTTACTGGACATCCGTCGAGCCCCCACGCTTCCATACAAAATGAATATTATCGAGCATCTGGAAATCATGAGGAAGTTGTTTGTGGATCCCAGTCGGGGGCCCTGTACGTTTAGTATTTTTGTTTTATTTTTAAGACGGATAACTAGCAACTTCTGACTCTTTTTTCCACCCACGCAGGGGAAAGGCTGGGAGTTTTCAAAGCAGGAAGCAGTGAAATCGTCTCCGCAATCAAAACTATCGAGAAAGAACCGCCGAAAGGAGTTGAGCGCGTCAAAATGATTGCAGAACTGATGCAGCGTCGAGGTAGAGGTGATCAGAATCACCCACAACCCCAACTGCAACCGCAACCAGCTGCGAGCATCGGCAGCAACCAGGCGGGAGAAACTCAAATGATCCCAATTCGGTTACCAATGCCAACATCTAGGTAAATTTGATACTGGATCTTAGGATTAAAAGACCCACATAATATTGAGCTAACAAAATCTTGCTGTTGAATCATTTTAAAATCTGATCAGGGTACCTGTTTATCATGAGTTCTTCAATTAAGCATTCTCCAGGAGCTAGAAATCAAAATTGAGACACAAATACCTTGTTCAATTGATCCCATATTATTTATTCACTCTAATCTTGATTGTTGAATTGAAAACTACCTCTTTAATCTATGTGAAGTTTGTTTTCCATCTGTAGCTTGAGGACTATCAAACCCAAAAAGCAGTATTCCACAGTTTAATAGATGTGAGTATTCCTTCCAAAAAAAAGATAAATTCAACATTTTTCATTTGTTTCTTGAAATTTAAATCCATAAAATCATATATTTTTAGAAATATGGAAGGTGTTCCTTTTTGAAAATAAGTAGTATTAATAGTCTTTATTTGGATCATATTTACTTGTTGAAAAGTCAAAATCCAACACACTTGATACTAGAAAACTTGGAATTGAAATCAACATATTCTTTTTGGGTGTTTATGGAGCCACAATCAACGCTGCCACAGATACAATACGCTGTGTGTATCATGGAGAATTCTGCAAAGCTGCATGGCCAAAAACCAAATTTGTTGAATCTCCTTGCAAATAAAAGCAGATTGGTCAGATAGTTTTTTTTTATTGGGGCTCAGATACATAGTGATACATGGCAGATACGGGCAGATACCGTATCTGTGGCAGCGTTGCCACAATGTTTGAACAATTTTATATACAATCAGATTTTTTAGTTTGGCTTTAAATATGACCAGTACAAATTGACAAGAACATACTCTAATAGAATTAAATTTTTAATTGCTATAAAGATGGAAATCAAAGATTGAACTAATGCAATGATAAAACTGCCCAAATATCAGACAAAGTTTTCAGCTGTGCTGGAATATTAATTGCCATTTTATGCTGTCATATATCATCATCCTTCTCCTTCATTTTCAATTTGAGCATAAAACTCATTTTATCACTTGGTTCTACTTTGTTCATTTGTGTCAAATTCTTTTCAATCAAAATATTGTCATTTTTATTATAACCAAGTGGAGAACTTCCCGTCGGATCTGGGAGCCTCGCAGTTTTTGATTTAGACCCAAAAAGTCTAGATTTTCGCAGGGAAATCTAGCTTTTTCGGCTCTAAATGGAAACTGGGAGACCCGCAGATGTTGACGGGAAGTCATCCAGTATTGATAACCTATATTTTTAACCTTGAAACTTCTTGTTCTTTCACTCCACTCCAGTAGTAATAAAATCATCAGTTCTGACCTGTGTCTAATGGTTGAGGAGGAATTGTCCTTGAATCCACTACTGCATTCAATTTAGTTATGCAAGTAAGGTTTTTCTCTGTGAAATCTATCAAATAGTGCCTAAAAATATTGACTATCAAGAGCCTTCTGTGCTGGGATTAACACAAATGATGTTCAAATAGCGAAAATACCGTAGCATCCTCATCCGAGCGAGATGGCGCAGCACAACGCGCAATCGGCGCACGAAATCAAACTTTCTTGGCGCGCAAGAATTCAGCACACATGGAAATTTTCATGTGCCAGGTTTCGTTGGCTGTTTTTTTCAATTTCGTTGGCTATTTTTTTTATTGTTTTCGTTGGCTTTTTTTTTCTTTGGCTAATTTTTTTTTCGCTGGCTGCTTTATTTTTCTTGGGCTGGTTTCGTTTTCGTTGGCTGCTTTTTTTTTCGTTGGCTGATTTTTTTTTTCGTTGGCTGATTTTTTTTTCGTTGGCCGATTTTTTTTTCGTTGGCTGATTACAGACGACCCACACTTTGGCCAGAGGCACTTGTACTCACCAGTTGGACTTGCAGGGTCAACACACACACACACCACATCAAGAAACAAATCAACGCAACCGAAGGAGAAAAAGAAAAGGAAAAAACGCTTTGTTCGCTCAAGTCAAGCAAGCATCCGAAAAATTCAGTCCGTGTG